TTTTATTTTATTTTATTTTATTTTATTTTATTTTATTTTATTTTATTTTATTTTATTTTATTTTATTATTTTATTTTAAACATTTATTTATTTTCGAGAGACACGAGTGCGAGTGGGGCAAGGCAGAGAGAGAGGGAGACACAGAATCCAAAATAGGCTCCAGGCTCTGAGCTGTCATTACAGAGCCCAACGTGGGGCTCAAACTCAGTAACCATGAGATCATGACCTGAGCCAACGTCAGCTGCGTAACCGACCGAGCCACCCAGGTGCCCCAGTAGGCACACGTTTTTAAAATAGTACTTTCCTTTTGTTTACTTAATTTCTTCTGACAGATTTCCGTATTATTTCTCTAGTGGTAGAAAATTATGTCTAGACTTCACAGATTCCGGCATTCAGAGCCTTTCGAACTCTGACCTCATTCCATTGTTCATGAAAACCTAACAGAAAGCGCTTTTCCATTTCTGTCTTTGTTAACACTTTTTGCTCTATCTATAATGGCCTTTCCTGCCATCTTTACGTTTTCAAATCCTTTTCTTCCATCGGTTCCAGCTCTAATAATATCTCTCATTCAGATATATTAATTATAACTCAGAAACGGAATCCCCGTGCCTTCCCCTTCCAGCAGGTTAAGTGACTGGAGTTCTTCAAAATTGGACTTGGAAAGCCTTTTAAAAACTCCAGAAAGACTTAAAGAAAGCCAAATTGTAACAACAATCAGACAGTACACTCCCTTTCAGGCTAGTGAGTACATCTGTTTGGTGAAATATGCTAGATTATTTTTAAAGAGTGTTTTGTTTTGCAGGTGTTGCTATATACACTGGAATGGAAACAAAGATGGCATTAAATTACAAGAGCAAGTCACAGAAACGATCTGCAGTAGAAAAGTAAGAAAGTTGTCTATTTTCATTTATTTACACATGAATATGTCTATGTATTCATATATGTATAAAATACTATGTATATAAAAATACATGTCAGTCAACAAAAGATGGTATTCTTGAGGATAGGGATGTATACATGTAGCATTTTGCACAATGTTTGGCATATAGTAGGTGCTAGATTATGACTTTAAATTAACAGCTTTAAAATAATACTATTGGATAATAATGGAATCACTTGATCAGACTAATCCTGCAGATAGCAATTATGAAATCTGGACAAAAATTTTTTTACATAAACAAGTATCTGAAAATACAGGAGAGTATTTTCCCGTAACTTCTTGCCTGAAGGTACTCCCTAATTCATGTGCTGCATAGGGCATCAGAGAGCCTGAGCTTTACAAGATTTAAGTGTTGGAGGACAAGGTTTAAAGCTAGAAAAACAACTAGACAGAGGTAAAACGGTGTAGGGGAGGGAGCCACAGAAGGGAATGAACTCTGTACGTAAATTATGCCCAAATCTTTGACTATTAGACCTATACATGTGCAAGAGAGACCCTGGTGGGCTTAGCAGAAAAACAGTATCAGGAGGCGGGAAGAACAGAACATAGAATTTTGCTGTTGTCTATTGCAGTGGAAACAGAGTTTGATGTTTGAGCCTAGCCAAGTTAACTTCCTGCTGGAATGAAAATCAGCACTCTTGTGAAGAACATAAAAGAGTACAGTCTTTACAACCTGTTATTTATAAAATTTAGTATGTAATCAAAAATAAGTAGACATATGAAGAAAGTATAATTTGTATTCAAGAGAAGAAGCATTCAATAGAAATTGTCTCCATAATGTTCTGTATCTTGCAGTTAACAGACAAGGTCTTTAGAGCAGATATTATAAGTATTTTTAAGGGCCTAAAAAAAGATGTGACTAAACACATGTAAAATATCAGCAAAGAAATGGAAACTACAGAAAACAGTATGGAGGTTCCTCAAAAAGTTAAAAGTAGAACTGCCCTGTGATTCAGCAATTACACTACTAGGTGTTCACCCAAAGGATACAAAAACACTGATTTGAAGGGGTACATGCCCCCTGATATTTATACCAGCACTATCACCAATAACCAAATTATGGAAAGAGCCCAAATGTGCACCAACTGATGATTGGATAAAGATATGGAGTGTGTATGTATGTATGTATGTATGTATGTATGGTATATACACACACTGGAATATTACTCAGCCATCAAAAAGAATGAACCTTGCCATTTGTAACATGGATGGAGCTATGGAGTATTATGCTAAGTGAAATAAGTCAGAGAAAGACAAATACCATACCATATTATTTCACTCACGTGTAGAATTTAAGAAACAAGTGAACGTAGGGGGGAACAAAAAGAGGCAGACCAAGAAACAGATTCTTAACTATGGAGAACAAACTGATGGTTGTCAGAGGGGAAATGAGGTGGGGGATGGGTTAAAAGGCGATGGTTATTAAAGAGAGCACTTGTGAAGAGCACCAGGTGTTGTATGTAATTGATGAATCACTAAATTCTATACCTGAAACTAGTGTGGCACTGTATGTTAACTAACTGGAATTTAAATAAAAATTTGAGGGGAAAAAAAAAGAAATGGAAACTATAAAGAGAATTCAGCAGATATTCTTGAGTTGAAAATCTAATTACTGAAATGTAAATGTCATTAGATGGGCTCAGTACCAGATTGAGGAAGGCAGCAGAAATTGTTGGTGATTTTTAAAAAGCAATAGAAATTATTCAGTCTGAAGAACAGGGAGAAAAAAGATTGAAGAAAAAATGAACAGAATTTCAGAACCATGTGAATACACAATATTAAGCTATTTAGCATAATTCTACTTGAGTCCTTCCCCAAAGAGGAGAGAACAGTAGGGGCAGAATAAAAATATCTGAAAAAATAATAATGGCAAATTTCTTGAATTTGAAAAAACACAGTGGTAATTTAAATCCAGCAAATCAAAATTTGTGGACTCCAAGGCAAAGCCTAAATTAAAGAGAAATTTCGAGCTATAAGTGTTTACATAAGAGAGGAAGAAAAGCTTAAAATAGTCATCTAAGTTTCTACCTTAGGAAGCAAGATAAAGAGAGTAATTATACCCAATCAGAGAAGAAAGAGAACAGATATTAAAGATGTGAGCTGGGGCGCCTGGGTGGCTCGGGTAAGCGTCCGACCTCAGCTCAGGTCACGATCTCGCGGTCTGTGAGTTCGAGCCCTGCGTCGGGCTCTGGGCTGATGGCTCAGAGCCTGGTGCCTGCTTCCGATTCTGTGTCTCCCTCTCTCTCTGACCCTCCCCTGTACATGCTCTGTCTCTCTCTGTCTCAAAAATAAATAAAAATGGTAAAAAAAATTTTTTTTAAAAAAGATGTGAGCTAAAACCAATAGAAGAGAAAACAAATAATAGACAAAATTAACAAAGCTGAAACTGGTTCTTTGGAAATAATAACAAATTAATAAATCTCTACTTTCTCAATCTAGAGAAATATATATTATTAAATTAAATATATAAATATAATTTATAAATATTTATAAATATTTATAAATTTTATAAATAAATTTTATTATTTATAATAATATATTATATTATATAATAATATATTGTATAATATATATGATATATTATATGATATATTATATATTATCTATATAATATATATAATAATATATAAATAATATAATAAATTTATAAATATTTATAAATATAATAAATTCATAAATATAAATTAAAATATATATTATATACTATATATAAAATATATAAAATATTATACATAAAAATATAAAAATATAAAAAAAATTTGTCCACACAAAGGGATAGTCTTTTCAACACACAGTGCTGGAACAGTTAGACATCCATATGCCAGAAACCAAATTTTCACCCTTCTCTTCACCACATACAAAAACTAACTCAAAATAAAACCTATACATAAGAACTTAATCTGTAAAACATGGGAGAAAATACTTTGTGACTTTGGGTTAAGGAAACATTTGTTTGATGGGAAACATACAAAAAAGGAACCAAAAACCAAACCAAAAATTGATAAATTTCATCAAAATTAAAAACTTCAGCATACCTGAAGCTGATATGACATTGTATGTCAACGTTAAAAGAAATTAATGCTTGTATTTCAAAAGACACTGCTGAAAAAATGAAAATACAAGCCACAGACTAGGAAAAATACTTACAAAGCACATATTTTGTAAAGGACTCCTATCCAAAATATGCATTTTCACAACTTCTTTTCAACATTATTCTAGAAGCCTTATTCAGTGTCACCAGACAAAGAAATAAAAGGCATAAGTATTAGAAAGTAAGAACTAAAATTGTCCTTACTGGAGGACACATGGTTTGTCACATAGCTGTACGCATTCAAAATTAAAACTATTGGAACTAATAAGTGAGTTTTAGCAAGGTCAAAACATGGTGAGAGATATTAAAGATTTATCCATTAAATAAATGACGAAATCACACTAATAGATTGGCAGGCTGAGTATTGTTAAGCTGTCAGGTGATGTCTTGATTGTTTCAATCCTAGTTAAAATCCCTGCAAACTTTTTTGTGGTCATTGACAAGATGATTCTAAAATGAATATTGAAATACACTGGCTAAAATGCATACATAGAATACACAAAGAAAATAGTCCCTTGAAAGAAAGCTGTAGGGGATGCCTAGGTGCCTCAGTCAGTTGAATGTCTGGCTCTTGACTTTGTGTCAGGTCATGGTCTCAAAGTTGGTGAATTCAAGTCCCATATTATGCTCTGTGCTGACAGCATGGAGCCTGCTTGGGATTCCCTCTCTCCCCCTCTCTCTCTGCCCCTGCCCTGCTCGTGTGCTCTATTTCTCTCTCTCTCTCTCAAAATAAATAAATAAACTTTAAAAATTGAAAAGAAAAGAAAGCTGTAGGATTTATATTCCCTGACTTTAAGACTTATTATAAAGCTGGTGAAGGGACCAGGGTTGAAGGGGTAGAAGGCAGATGGGATATGGAAAATGAGTTCAGATTAAGGGAACTAATACCTTACTGGAAGACAGGCACAGTAGATGTCTATCTGTGTGGAGTGAGAGCTCAATGGGAATTAGAGGATGTCGAGAAGGAGGATCCAGGTTTTAGTAAAGAAGATTTTGGCGTTTAGTCTGAAAAACTGTTGATTGAAAGTATACAGTAGAGGGGGATATCCAACATGGCAGAGAAGTAGGGGAACCTGAAGTTCCCTCTCAAACACAGCAGTGTTGAGGGCAAGGGACTTTGAATTCCAAGAGTCTGGGCTGTAGAGTGACAGAGACATGTCCATGGGGACAACCTGGCAGGCAATACGTGCGTGATTGCAAACTGGGAGAGATAAAATGTGCAGTGTAGGCACGGAGGGGAGAGATCCCCTTCTGCAGACAAAGGGAAGAAAAAGAGAGGCTGTGGAAGTGCAGGACTGTATTTGGACAAGAGAAAAAACAATGGACTGGGGACGGAGAAAGAGCCAATCTCTAACTGTGGGGCTTTCTTTGGACTGGGGCTGGCTGCCCAGTTCACGCACCTGGGGAGGAAGGGAGCTAGCCCCAGGCTCAGTAACTAGTTCAGAGGTGCAGTCTGCAGTGGGAGAAAGCGATTCCCTCCCTTGAGTGCTGTGGGAAGAAGGTATATAACCATTCAAAGGACAAGAGATCCTACCTGTGCTCACCAGCCAGAGGCCATTTATCAGCGGTGTGGAGCGGCACTTCCCTGGAACCAGGACACACGGAGTGGGACCCTTTAAGACATTGGGGTTTAAATCCCAGCTGAGCACCAGGGAGGTGCAGGAGTTGGCAGAGCAGGACAAACCACCTAGTCCATGCCAGTGCGTCACTGGGAGGAGGCCCTCCATCCGTGGAGTGGAGTGGCACTTCCCTGGAACTGGGGTGTGCAGAGCAGGACCCTTTAAGACATCTGGGTTTGAATCCCAGACAAGCCCCAGGGAGGCGTGGGAGACTGTGGAGTGGAAAAAAAACAA